ATACTGGGGCATTGAACCCAGGGCCTTCCTATGCTAGGCAAGTGCTAGATCTGCAGCCATTAATTTCATATAATTGTATATTATATGGATTCTTTTATTTACTAATTCATTAAGCAAAATGACCTGGTAGTAAGTATATACTATCAATGGACAGTTCAGATGAGGCCCTTGTCAGAGTCTATCAGAGTCAGGGAAACAGGCAGTAATAAAGTAAACCAATGGATACCTAGGAGCTTCAGACAGTGACAGGTGTCAGATGAAAATAATACAGGTTAACATGTTGGAGCAAGAGGGAGACAGCAAAGGGATTGTGCTTGCTTTGGTTAGGGCAGTTGGAGGTAGTCATTGGCAGGGTGGCTGGAGAGCAGTGAAGAATTATCACAAGAGACAAGATCTAAGAGGTCAGCAGCTAGCAGCCCAGATAAGGTTTACTAGATTGTTCTGCAAATCTGGGTTTGATTCTAAGGGCCTTGAAAATCCATTGGATGATTTGTCTTTTTAAAATATATTCTTTTTAATTGATATGTAGTAATTGGGCATATTTATGGGCTACAGCATGTCTTTTCGATATGTGTAATTAGTATGTTATGGACAGATCAGGGTAACTGGCATTTCTATCATCTCGGACATGACATTCTTTGTGCTTGGAACATTGAAAATCACCTCTGCTACCTGTTTTGACATATTCAGTTTACTGATCATTATCCTACTGTGCCACAGAACATTAGGAGTCATTCATCCTACCCTGGTTGATTTAAAGCAGAGAGTGATAAGATGAAATTCACACTCACAGGGAAATGAAAGGCCCAGAGCCATCATGGAGACAGGCAGGGTGAGGAAATGGCTTGTGTTGCCAGTGGCTGGCAAACTGGTAAGAGGTTGTAGAGTTTGGATGATATTTGATATTTGCCGATTGAGAGGCTGTTTGCAGAGAGAGGCCAAGGACCATGTCCAGGTCTCAGAGCTACACACAGGAAGGGCAACCTGAGCAAACTGCCTAGATGGTGGGGAAGGGGGTGGCTACTATGTTCAGTTTGGGATCAGCAGCGCCAAGTCCATGAGAGCGAGGAGGGCTGGGGTGAGGTGTTGGAGGCTTCAGCTTATGGTGGAAATTTTGCTTACTATGACGTTTCCATACCTAGACTGTGATGATGACTTTTATGTGTGTTAGTCACACTTTGTTGTGAGCCTCCCTATGCCTAACCAACAATCACCTCCCAACAACTCAGTGTATTTCCAGTTGATCCTGGGTAAGCCCTCCCACCCTAGCATCTCCTGAATCAGCTACAGTGCTAGCAAGCTTCCCATTCATGGGCTACCCAATAGTTTTGAAGCTGCTTGGAGTACTTTGTACCTTTACCAAGCCTGTGAGTAAAATCATTGCTCTTTATTTCCTGAA